CCGGGAGTAGGTCCCTTTCATTCGATTCTCCTAGAGGCCTGTCTGTGTACCTAAAATAATTAGGATTCCTGATCTAGTCAGCCCCCTCATTTCAGAGATTAAGAAGCATGAGTTGCAGAAAGGACGTGCTGTGCACAAAGGCCCCAGAGAGTGGCCAAGCCAGAGGCAGAGCAGAGCAGAGCAGAGCAGACCTCTCACTCATCAGTGTTCTTTCCTGACCATGAGTGCTTTTCCTATCCTGACAGAGAGGTGATGCTAAGCTCTGCAGTCAGACAGCCATATTAGTGTGAGTCCAAGCCTGTTTCACTGCTTAAAAACTATTGTCCCTTTACAAGGTACTAGCCGCAGCCCTCTATTTCAGTATGTGCAATTTTTATAAACGTTAAACAATTGGCCATTAAATTTCTAAGTCTTCTGTAGGCCGGTCCTGTAAATTAATTGAAATCTTCACATAATTTTACATACAGCATGTGAGTGTGTGAGATCCTACAGAATTTTAAGTATAGATATAAAAGTTTAGAATATATATGCCATCAGTCAGTCAGTCTTTTCTTTATACCCAACCCTTCTAAATTCCAAGCATAATGAACAATAATAGTCTTATGAGGAAAAACTCCAGCTAGCTTTTATTAGCCATGAAGGAGTTTGAGCTTTCACCCAAATGTAGTTTTTGCCCTCAGATCTAACTCCCAGGGGAATGACCTCCAGGCCTTCTAGTAGCAGGTCCTACAGAAAACAATTGATCTACACAAAACCATGTGCTCAAGATTCTCAACTGATGATTTGTATACCCTAATGTGATTCTACTTATCTCAGAATTTTAATAAAATTAGCATTTCCAAATTTTAAAATGAATGCCATCTGCCATACTTTGAAGGATTTTGGTGATGGGAAAAGATAAGAATTTTCAACTTGGAAAGGTAGAATTAATCTTCTGAATGCTTTGATGCCAGCCTTGGAAGTTTTTATCAGGGAAGTTTTCTGCTGTATTACTAAGTTTCTGCCAGGCTTATATGTAACTAAAGGGCTGTTTTCATTCATCCCCAAAACAAAAGATTTGGTTTTTCGATGGAAAGGTAGGGTCAAACAGAGATTAACTCTGTGAAGTGTTTGGGATCTAGCTAGAGAAGATAGGGAGGGAATAAAAGTTCCTGTTCTCACAGTTTATTATTCCTTTCTTTTCAAACACCTTCTCCCTTGTCTTCCAAGACCCACACACTCTCTTAACTTTTCTTTTACCTCCCCAGCTATACTTTCTCAGTCTTCATTGCCAGGCCCTCCTCTTACCAAGCCTGAAATGTTGGAGGGCCGTGGGCTCAGCCCCAGATGTCTTCGCTCTCCACACACAGTAATCCTGTTCTTTCTACACATAACCGCTGTTACCGCCACATTTCTAGCTCTAGCCTCAGGCTTTTTCCTTAACTCCAGGCTTATCTAACAATCTGCTTACTCTCTGTCTCCATCCAATTTTCTGAAGGGTGTCTCAAACTTAACTGATCCAAAACCAAATCCTTGATTCCACCCCAAGATACTCTGCCCTTCTTGTGTTCCCCCCCCCCCACTATATGTAGTAAATGGTGTCACCACTCACCCAGTTGTGCAGACCCAAATCCCTGGTGTTGAACCCAACTCCACATTCTCTCAGACCCTGTCTTCCCTGTCTTCAAACCCCCAGCTTCAAAATATACCCAGAATCCAGTCACTTCTCACCACCCTTCAGCTACCACCCTGGTCCAGGCCATCCTTTCTTTTTAGCCTGTCTTCTGTAGTAACTACCTAACTGTTCTCCCTGCTGAGTTCTTGCCTCTCTACTGTTCTTTACCCACCCGGCAGCTAGACAGTTCTATTAAAAAATAAGTCATATCTTGTCACTTCTCTGCTCAAAACCTTCCAATGGCTTCCTCTCACATTTAGAACAAAAGCCAAAACCTAATTTACATAACCCTCAAGACCTTACCCGTCTTCCCATTGCCCACTTCCCCCTCTTCATTTCCCACCCACCCTTCCCCACCGG